CTCTGCGCGCTCACGGACACGTAGGACGCCAGCGCCCGTGGCTCCAGGTCGCTGGCCACGATGGAGTAGGAGACGTGGCCGTTGGGTCCCAGGTCGGGGTCGGAGGCGCTGACTTGGGCGATGGAGGCTCCTGGAGGGTTGTTCTCGGCAATGTGGACCATATAGAACGCCTGTTCGAAAATGGGCGCATTGTCGTTGACATCTGCGATGTGCACAGTGATGCTTGAGCTAGAGGAAAGAGGCGGCTTTCCCCTGTCAGTAGCTGTGATGGTGACGTTGTACACAGGGGTCTTCTCCCGGTCCAGGGCCCCATCTGTTACAAGTTTGTAGTAATTATTGGCAGAAGATTCAATTCTAAAAGGAACTTTTTCTTTTATGAGGCATGTGACCTCTCCATTTTCTCCCGAATCTTTGTCATGTGTTTTGAACAGAGCAATCACCATCCCCTGTTCTGTGTCCTCAGTTATGGAACTTGACACCGAAGTGAAAATGACCTCTGGGGCATTGTCATTCTCATCTAAAATTTCTATTATAATTTTACATTCAGTGGCCATGCCTCCACCATCCTTGGCTTCTACACTCATGGTATAACTACTACTGTTTTCAAAGTCTATAGGACCTTTGGATTTAATTTCTCCACTTTGATGGTCAAGCATAAACATATTTCCAATATCTCTTACTGTTTTGAAGGAGTAGGTGATCTCTGCATTGATGCCCTCATCCTGGTCGATGGCTGTCACCTTTAGCAGAGAGGTGCCTGAGGGCAAGTTCTCTGGAAGGTTAACTTTGTACACATCCTGACTGAACACTGGGGGGTTATCATTGGCATCGGTGACCTCAATCTTGATTTGAACGGTGCCACTTCGGACTGGGTCACCTCCATCCACTGCGGTCAGGACCAGAAGATGGGAGCTCTGATGTTCCCGGTCCAGCGGCTTCTCCAATATTAATTCTGGGGCATTCTTGCCTTCGGTCTTATCCTTCACCATCAGAGAGAAATACTCATTATAGCTGAGTTGGTAATTCTGGAGAGAGTTAGGTCCTACATCTGCATCTATAGCAGATTCCAAACCAAATCGAGTTCCAAGAATTGCAAGTTCATTGATTTTTAAAACAATGCTATTTTGGGGGAAATAAGGTGGATTGTCATTTATATCTTCTATCCTCACAGATATGTGAAAAACATTTAGAGGATTATCTGCCACAATCTCTAAGGGCAGGACACACAGAGGGTTTGGGGGACAGAGCAACTCCCTATCTATTCTGTCACTCACAAGTATGTTGCCATTCTCTGTGTTCAAGGTAAAGTATTGTTTCTCTGCACTAACTCTGAAGTTGCGGGTCAATAAATCCTGTACATGCAGCCCCAGGTCTTCAGCAAGGTTTCCTACCACTGAGCCCCTGGCCATTTCTTCTGGAATAGAGTAGCGGATCTGCTCAGAGAGCCCCCCACAGAACAAAGGCAGCAGGAAGGGAAAGAGTACTTGCCGCTGCCGGGTATAGCTCCTCTGCTTCACCCTAGTTCCCATCCTTTTCTGCGCTGCCACAGCCTCTGATGTTAAGAGAAGATGCTTTACAAATTGTGTTTAAAATAGTTACTGCCAATACGTAGAAAACTCAATGTCTTCAGTTTCAAGGCATCCCAATCTGTATTCCAAAATCATTTGCTGAGCAGAGAGTCTATGTGTGGGCTTCATCTCCTTTCAGACTTGCTTCCGTGATTGCGCAGAAAATCACTTAGGTAGATCGTGGACTCCTGCTCTTGCAGCGCATTGGCCAACAGCGGCACTCAGAGTCTACTTAGAAAATTGCAGTCCAAAACCTTGCAAACAATGGGATTTGCTATTCCGTCAGATTTGTTGGACTCAGGTATATAGAACAAGGCAATATATGAGTTTTGGATGTGTCTCTTTTCCAGTGTTTACTACCAAAGAAGATTCATTAGAGATTTGATTCTATAGAAGAGCCATTAACCGAGTATGAGAAAAGTTTATCTTCTTCTAATCAGAGGCAATGCACATACTGGAAGAACAAAGCCAAGTCTTCTCTCCAGATTTAGAACATAGACCACATGGTAAAACAGCCTCACCAAGTGATATGGGGAAATTTTTGCAGCCATGAGCTAACCCCCAGTATTATTTTCAATCTGATGTGCAGATAATTTTCCTCCTAATTTTTCCAGAGGAAACTGGAGGAGAGCTCAAATCTATATAGGACATACTCAGGAGGAGGTTGACCAAAGATATATAGTTTTCCTTGCTCCTTATAAAAGAAATTTTTTAAAAGGATTATCAAGTGTTTTACACTTTCACCATAACAATATAAAAGTATACCCTAGTAGGTACCATAGGAATTTAATGATATGCAAAACGTGAGAGTGTTTTATTTTTATCCTTCTATTTAACTGGACCACATGTTGTACCTTAATAGAAGTTTATCACTACCTCTGAATCAAAATAACCATCTTCTTAATCTCAAGTTTCAAAGGTAACCTTTCCTTTTGTTCTCCAAGATTTTGGTTGCCAGCTCCTAACTGTTCAGACTATGTTTTATATATATATATATATGTATATATATATATATATATATATATATATATATATATATATATATATATATATATATATATATGGAACAACCTCCCTCTCCCACAAAATAACTCATGTCCTTTTATTCGTCTGCTTTCAATTCAAGTAAAATGCCTCAAGTCTGTTTTCTTTTTTAACTTTATTTATTTTTGAGAGAGAGAGAAAGAGCACCCACATGTGAGTGGGGGAGGGTCAGAGAGCGAGAAGGAGAGAGAGAGAATCTCAAGAAGTCTCCATGCTGACGTGGGGTTCGATCCTATGGACCATGAGATCATGACCCGAGCTGAAACCAAGAGTGAGATGCTCCAATTGGGCCACCCAGGGCACTCCAAATCTGTTTTCTCAGTTTGGAATTCCACAGGCATAAATTTTATCCCTACATGCTTGAAACACTCTAAAATTTTTCTTGACATCAAGAATGTCAAGCATCTGTTGCAGGATATCCCTTTCCTACAGTTGAAATTCTTTTTGCCAAAATATTAGAAACTCAATTATAGCTAAATACATTAAGGTCAATTCCTAAATGAGAAAAGAAAACTTGAAAGGGAACATGAATATGTTAATAACCTGGGCCAAACATCTATAAGTGGTATGAGAGTGCTGAGCTGAATTGAGTATGGAGATGATTCCTGTGTTCAAATATCTTCAGTAAGTCTCCTTTCCTCACTTGACTTTCCTATGCAGTGTTTCAGAAAACACATGTCATTAGGTAACTACCAGGGTTTCAATAACAAGTTGGTTCTGAATATAAGGATTGAATATACTTATATATATTACAAAATGAGTTTTCAAAGGAAATAAAAAAGGAATCCATGACTCATAGGCATATTGAAAACACACAACAACAAAAAGGAAACACCAAATAGGAATACCAGATAAATCAGTCTCATAAAGTCCAAATATTCACAAACTAGTTCACATTAGTATATCTGAAAAATGTAAGCATGTTTAGCCAATTTGAAAATAACTTTTTGAGAAGCACTGGATCAAAATTATTTCTGCAGGTGAATTTACTACATTAAGAAATCTTAAACACACACACACACACACACACACACACTAAAGTACAAGTAAAAGAATAAAAGAAAATAATACCAGTTCAACAATTCAACTATTTCTTCAGAACAATCAAATGACTTCATGGTAGAAACAGAAAATATGTGTAGAACTTAAGAAAAAAGGTGTACTCTACATTTCCTCTCCCAAAAGAATCTAGTAGTAAAAAGGCAATCAGCATATCTGTTTTGGTAATATAAATAAATTACACAAAGTTGAAATAATCAACATAATTGAAACATATTACCACTCATCAAAACTCAAAATAGAATTTTCATGCTCAGAGCCAAGCTTACATGTGTGAACATTTACATGTAAATGTTGTATATATGTGTATATAGATAAGGAAAAGAGCTACAGAGTGTATGCCATTGAATCAACATGATCAAATTTGAACATTAGAAATAAAGCAAATAGTGATAGAATTTAATTATAAATAAATGGAGGCAATGTGAAATTGTAATAGGCAAACAAAAAACTTGTGAATCATTAATTTGAATCCTAACCAGTTCATTGATAGCCACAAACACTGATGATAGAAAAATATTACTAAAATTTAACTTATTATAAAGCAAGCCATGGTAGCTGAACTAGACCTTTAGAATCAAAAGAAAATATGCCAGAGGAGTGGAAAAACCTTTTCTGAAAAATGATGGTAATTTGTTGAAAGATAAAATAGAGGAACTCATATGTATTGCTCTAAACATGTATGAACTGAATATATCCCCCCACCAGAAATATGTTTTTAAGCCACTTAAAAGACTTGCACAGAGATAGCAACAACTGGGAGGTAGGTAATAAATCTCACCTGATCATTCTTGGAGTCAAATTTGCCTAAACCAGCAGCTGAATCTTCAGCTATCAAGAGTGGCTCGCTTTTCTCACAGCTGTCATGACTAATAAGCATGTCCGCATAGTTGGGCTGAGGGAAGATCACGTGACTCCTCCGAGAGTCCGCCGTGAGGGAGACCTCTTGGGAATAGGTCTGCAGGAAAGCTTGCACCCCGTCCACGCCCACAAAGTGCGAGGTAGGCATGCCAACCAAACTGCCTCCTGAAGCCTGGAGCAGACGTGTCGCGTGCCAGTGCCTCAGTCTGAGCGCCAGCAGCACAATCACAAACGCGAGGAAGACGCAGGAGACAACTGCCACCGCCACCACTAGGTAGAGTGTGAGGCCAGAATCGTGGGGATTGGCAGAAGACTCGAAGCTGCTTAGGTCAGCCAGGACATCTGGGATACTGTCAGCCACGGCCACGGTGAGCGTGACGGTGGCCGAGAGAGGGGGCTGGCCATGGTCCTGCACCACCACCACCAGGCTCTGCTTGAGCGCATCTCTGTCCAGCAGGGCCCGTGCTGTGCGCACCTCGCCCGTGTGCAGCCCCACTGCGAAGAGCCCTGGCTCGCTGGCCTTGAGCAGGCGGTAGGACAGCCAGGCATTCTGGCCAGAGTCTCTGTCCACCGCCACTACCTTAGTCACCAGGTAGCCAGGCTCAGCTGACCTGGGTGCCAGCTCCACACCAGTGGAACCATCGGTTGGGAGGGTGGGGTGCAGGATCTCTGGCACATTGTCATTCTGGTCCAGCACGAATATGCTCACAGAAACATTGCTGCTGAGTGGCGGGTTCCCACCGTCCAGTGCTGTCACCCACACTTGCAGGTCACGGAACTGTTCATAGTCAAAAGAGCGCAGTGCATATAGGGTGCCGGTGTCTGAGTTGATGGAGACATAGGAGGATAAAGGTGCTCCCTGCAGGGTATCCTCCACTAGGGAATAAGTGACCCGGGAGTTCTCATTGCTGTCCAGGTCAAGTGCCATCACTGAGAAGAAGGAAGCTCCTCTGGGGTTGTTTTCAGGAATGTAGACGGAGTAAGAGGAATCAGCAAAAGTGGGTGGGTTATCATTGTCATCTGCTACATTCAGTGAAATGTGAGTTTCTGTAGACAAGGGTGGATGTCCCTGATCTGTGGCTATCAAGGTTATATTATAGCTGTGGACCTGCTCCCTGTCCAGCACTCTGTTTGTTATCAATTTGTAATAATTTCCATAAGTCTTTTCTAATTTAAAAGGCAGACTGTTAGGAACGAAACATGAGACTTGACCATTTTCTCCAGAGTCTTGATCTTGCACATTTAGAAGAGCAATAACTGTACCTGGAGGAGAGTTTTCCAGCACTGAATTAGTAGAAGATGTGATAGTTATTTCTGGAGCATTATCATTCACATCCACAACTGTGATCAATATCTTAGCAGTGGTCGAGAGACCTCCTCCATCTTGGCCTTGAATTTCCATCTCATAAAATCTAGATTTCTCAAAATCCAGAGACCCTCGTATTAAAACTTCTCCAGTGTGAGAATCCAACTGGAATATTTCAGAAGCTTTGCTTTCCATATTCCGGAATGAAAACACCACTTCCCCATTGATTCCCTCATCTGGATCAGTTGCATTTACCATGAGAACCCGAGTTCCAGAGCTGAGGTTTTCAGGAATACTCACTTGATATACAGACTGTGTAAACTTTGGTATATGGTCATTTACATCGAGGACCACTACACGAATGGCAACAGCACCCTGTTGGATGGGATCTCCTCCATCGAAAGCTGTGAGGAGGAGATGGTGAGCAGCCTCCTTTTCCCGGTCCAAACTCCCCTCCAGCACTAGTTCAGGATTCTTGGCCCCATCCATCCCGCCTCGCATTTGCAAGGAAAAGTAACTGTTAGGATTGAGCTGGTAGCGCTGGAGAGAGTTCATTCCTACATCTGGATCCCTAGCGTTAGGAAGGGGAAATCTCGATCCTGGAGTTGCGTGCTCACTGACTTTTATCTCTATTTCTGCCTCCTGGAAGCTGGGGGCGTTATCATTAACATCCATTATTTCCACCTCCACTCCGTAAATCTTCAGGGTATCTTCCACAAGTATCTCTATATTAAAAAAACAGGAGGACAGTGTCTCACAGAGCTCCTCCCGGTCTAACCTACCTGCAGTGATCAAGCTGCCACTTCGCGGATCCAGAGCGAAAAGCTGCATCCTGCCTCTGGAGATGATGCGGACTCGGCGTTCCGCCAGCTCCCAGGGTTCCAGCCCCAGGTCCTTGGAAATATTGCCCACGAAGAAGCCTTTATCTGTCTCTTCGGGCACCGAGTATTGGATGTGCCCTGCCCCAGACTCCTGTAGCGTCCTCAGGAAAATGTATAGTAGGATCAGCCCGCTGCGGTCCAGAAACAGTAGCCGATTCCCCATGGCAGTAAGCTGAGCTTATATTCCCTGGTTTCTTGGGCTGTTTTGTTCTGAATCAGCTTATATATCTACCAAGTTCAAGGATGACTGCATCCAGAATATATTAGAGAGAGAACTACTTTAAGTTTCCAGCATCAGGATCTGTGAGTATCCATGTTACTCTGCTTTGTGTTGTAGAGATGGGGGAGGGAGGGAAGGCAGCTTGCAGCTTCCCATTCCCTGATTGGTGAAGAGCGGCGCCTAGAGCCAAATCTTATTATTGCAACGAGTAAGAAAAGCCCAACTTAATGTGTCTGTTCCAGAAGTTATTACACACCTCTTCAAGAATTACACATATTTGTAAAACTGAAAACTGCACAAAACAAAGGGTTGTATAATGTGATGTTGAAGGTTTACCAAGAGCATTTAATAAAAGGAATAATTATTAAAAGGGATTGTTTAATTTTAAAAAATGTTTTCAAATACTGTAGGAACTGAACAACTGCAAGTTAGACTTGCTTTCTATTGATTTTTACCAACTGAAGGGAACAGTATTTATGGATGTGGAACTAGCTCGGTTCCAAAAAAATCATCAGAGCGCATGACTAAAATTCTTACCAATATTTCTTTATTGAGTAAAAGATGAAACATTTGAGAAAATTTGGATGACATTAGGCTGTCATTTTAAAAATTACCATGATATAAAAAAATAGAATTGTGTTCCATATCCTTAAATAAGAAGTATTCTCTTTCATGAAAAATTTGCTTGAGATTTCTATATATTCTACCTTAAATTGCATAGTAGAATGACTGCAGCACCGTAAACTTTAGTCTAAACAGTGATACCAATAGGTTTGACCTAGATTTATTTTAGGAATTTTATCAAGAGATTGAATCTAGAATCATTACTTGTATTTATTTATTTTTAAAAAATTTTTAATGTTTATTCATTTTTGAGAGACAGAGACAGAGCACAAGCAGGTGCAGGGCATAGACAGGGAAACACAGAATCAGAAGCAGGCTGTCTGAGCTGTCAGCACAGAGCCCAATGCAGGGCTTTATTCCAACTCACGAACTGTGAGATCATGACCTGAGCCGAAGTCAGATGCTTAACTGACTGAGCCACCCAGGCACCCCTATTAATTTATTTTTAGGTAAGCTCTACACCCAAAGTGGGGTTTGAAATCACAACTCTGAGATCAAGAGTCACATGCTCTACCAACTGAGCCAGCCAGGCACCCCTTAATCTAGAATCTTTAAACAACAATGCTCCATTGGAATACATTGGCATTAGAATATAAAAAGCATTATTTTAAATACTTACCTGTTTTAAAGTTTTCTTATCTGCTTCAACACTAGGAGTTAAAATGCTAGTCATTAGTCCCGAAGGGCTATCTTTGTTGAGAATATCTTGTGTGGCTGGAAAATGATCAACAGATGTGAGAAAATTAAATTCCGGATTAGTTTGATCCCCAGGCACACAAAAATTATAGGCATAGGGTAATGTTCCTTCACTGTAGTTGGCGGTAATCTCGGGTCCAGACTTGGAACACCGAACAGACCCAAAGCAGCTCTCTGGGGCGTGGCTGGAAGAGCTTCGCAGGCGCAGGGCCACCGCCAGAATCACCGCAAGGAGGAAGAGCACCGAGATCAAGGCCAAAGCCACCACCAGGTAAAACTGCAGCTCGGCCTGGGGGTCAGAGGGCTCCGGACGGTCGCTGACATCCGGCAGTACTTCTTGGAGGCTGTCGGCGAAAACCAGGTGCAGCGTGGCGGTGGCAGAGAGGGGCGGCTGTCCCCCGTCCCGCACGGCGACCAGCAGGCGCTGGCGGGCCGC